ATTCACTCCTGTTCTAATCTCCCCTACTCCTGTCCAAGGGCAGACTGACAACTCATATAGCCCCCGGGCAATAGGGGAACATGGGGCCCCTGTGTCCTTGTCCACACTCAAAGCACACCCAAAAAAGCCTATAAAAAAGATACCAGGTGCATTTTGTTGGGAATGCAAAGCATGTACTATATAGTATTGTGTGTTATTATCACTTGACCAGTAGATGGCACTGTACACTAAGGTTACTAGTTGTGCATATGTGTAAAACTTGTTGGTTCTCTCTCTTCCTTTCTCTCTTCCTCTCTTCAAAACCAAGATGTCTGCTGAAATGTGTTCTGTATGTTTGCAACTTAAGCCACACAAGTAAAACAGTGTTCTGCCTCATCACAAGCTACCAGTGTCTTCTCTAACACATAACCAACACATTTCATGGGGCCCCCTACTGACCCTGTGCCCTTGGGCAGTGCCCGAGTGCTTGAATGGTCAGTCCGCCCCTGTTCCTGTCTTGGATAGAGTGGTACAGGCATCTTCTACTAAGGGTCTTATCTTAGATGCTTATTCAGCTCTTTTAGTTTCTCCAGAAGCTTCCCCTATTCTCTCCAGGAAAAAATGGGAAAAAGGTATCGGCCCTATCCCCGGGGATAGACTTCTTTTTTCGTAATGAAAAGCCCTCCAGTATTCTCCTAGATACGCACGAGACATTTTTTAAAAATGGACCCCGTGGATCCAGTATAGACCCCTTCTATACCAATAACCAGTTATACATTGCTATGGGTCCTTGGGGCCCTGGTTGGGGTGCTCCTGACATCCCCCCGACCTTTTTATTTTTTACCTTCCTACTTTCCTTTCCTACTTTCCTATCCCCTTCCATTTTCTTTTTCTCTCCTACTTATTTGGGCTTTTCTGTAGGGATGATCTCTACATATGGATTCCTTTATTTCTCATATAGTGAACTCAACATATAGGCATCTCATCCGTTAGCTCCTATCTCACTGGTATAGGCGCACAAATTCCATTTTCTTTTATCTACACTGCTTCTCTGCTATGGCATTATCAATGTACTCTTTGACATACTAATCATTTAGTTATTTGCTATCATATTTTACTTGATGTACGACTACTACTGATTTTTTTTTTATTTACACTTTTATTTAATTTTCCAGTACAAAATGAACAACACATTTGCAAAAATATTTCACATACACATATTTCTGACTGATATTATACTTCTCTCTATACATCTGATCGCAGTTATACACTGTATTTCTTAAAGATTCTCGATACAAATGTATTGAAAGAGAAAATAAAATCATTTTTGCCAGACAATATAACCCCCCAAAAAATGTATATTATTATTCAGGATTTGTATAGCGCCAACAGTTTGCCCAGCGCTTTACAATACAAATATACATATATATCTATATATATCTATATATATATATATATACACACACACAAAGGTATATATATATATATATATATATATATATAATTTTGTTATCTTAAGTAATGACATGAAGTTATTGCCCAATAAACAGCTCCATAACAGAAATGTAAAAATTGCTCTGGTTCATAGGGGGGTGTACAGGGGGGAGAGCCACACTGCTTAATGTATATTCACAGCTGCACATGCTCTCACTACATATATGTCATAATGTAAACGTGTACTATAGCAGAGAAAAAGGAGATTAGCGCTAATCCCGGCGATGACACGGCTTCCCCAGGGGACCGGACCTCTGACCATGGGTGCTTCACACACATTTATAGTTATTGATCTGGATGAGGTTCCTTCAATCATTCATTTGCATTTCATTTTTGTGATGAAGCAACAGAAAATGTGCTAGTGTCACATTTGTTCGGTCTGTGTTGTTTACTCCAATATTTATTTTATATTTTTTGTAGGAAAACTCCACTTTGGATTTTAAAAAAAATAAATAAAAATTCTACAAGGGTCCCACACACACATAATTATTTATTATTATTTCAAAAATTATCTCTACAATCGGCAGCGTGTGTATTATGTGTTGTGGGCACTGATGGTATACAGTCTGGGGTTGATTTACTAAAGAGGCAGAGCATGCTCACTTTGCAAAGTGAATTTTTTTTAGTTATCTTAGCAAATTAGGTGAAGGTAAGTGAAAATTCATTTCGCAGAGAATACCCAAATACACTCACCGGCCACTTTATTAGGTACACCTTGCTAGTGTCGAGAAAATATCCTCCACACCATGACACCACCAGCCTGAACCATTGATACAAGGCAGGTGAAAATTTACTTTCCACACTCTATTCACTAAGAAAAGTAAAAATTTGTTTTTCATCTCTCATTCACTAATCTAAGTGAAAATTTGATTTGCTACATGAAGATTCACTTTGTAGTATGCCCAGTCCTACTGCTGAAGAAACCTGATAAGTAGGGGAAAAAATGTTTTTACTAACTTACTTACTAACACCTTTTCTCCTTCTTTTCTTGACTATTATTTTTCTAATGATTTTATATATATATACATATATATATATATACAGTATTTATGGACACACACATATAAAGTGTATATATATATATATATATATATATATATATATATACACACACACACACACATATACAGTATATATATATATATATACATATACAGTATATATATATATACACACACACACATATACAGTATATATATATATACACACACACATACAGTATACATATATATATATATATATATATACACACATACATACATATATATATATATATATATATATATATTTAGATCTAGTTTTTTATTATTCCATAGATTGTTTCATTTAACATTACACTAAAATGATGATCAAAACCTGGCTTTGGTACAAAAGTGTTTTGTATTTTTTTTTTTTTTTTAATTATACCCTGAGCAGCAGACAGGAACAAGGTCAGGATCAAGCCGGGGTCATACACAGAGCAGTAGACAGGATCAAGGTCAGGAGCAAGCCAGGTTGGTAACGGTAATCAGCAGTAAACTGAGGAACACAGGAACGGGAGGGGCTGACGATAATCCAGCAACCACTGAGCAGAGCTGCAGTCTTTATAAAGGCCAATGAGTGTCAGCAATTAGTGCACCATGCGTGTGCCAGTGCATTTTTGCGTACAGGAATGCCCGATTATGTGCCGCCCGCCTATGCGCATTTCTTTGTGCGATCTAGCGTGGCCATATTGAGCATTGGTGCATTTGCCCGGGCTTCCTCATCTTTACGTCTGACAGGCTTTCTTCGTGGACGACACCCATGCACGTCATTACTCTGCAGTTTAAGCCATATGGTGTCACGGGAAACAATCACCCCAGTGTGGCTTTCTACTTCTTTAGCTGAATGCAGTGATTTTCTTCAACCCTTCTCATCAGAAGACGCTCCTGTCGAGGTGTTAACTTCCGTGGACTTTATGGACGTCTTTGTGAGATGGTTGCAGTTCCATATTTCTTACATTTTTGTATCACTTTTGCTACAGTATCCTGACTGATAAGTAAAGCTTTGCTGATCTTCTTGTAGCCTTCACCTTTCTTGTGTAAAGAAATAATTTTCTATCCCAGGCTTTGTGACATTTCTCTTCCAGGTGGTGCCATTGCTGACAGGATGAAATGGGAGGAGTTTTCTTTGTTAAGTAACGCCCTTTTATAATCACCTGTCTGCTGGACACCTGTTTAATGAACAATTAGACTCACCTGGAGTTGAATTCTTGTTTATTAGGATTTTGTTGTCTAAAATTTAGCTTTGCTCCTAAGACTTTCATTGGGGTGTATTCATTTTTGCAACATGGTCTTGAATGAATTTGTTAGGAAAAATACTCTCGTGTGTGCAAATTACCAAATCTTGTTTGCAATCAATGGCCCGCATTTGTGGGAGTATTGTGTAGTATAGTGTCCCATAGAAAATGTTGATTCTGAAAGGAAAGGAAAGGTTTTCTGACAAATCTGTTGGGGTATACTCATTTATGCTGAGCACTCAGCGCAATCCCATCTTTTATAATTTATCAAAAATTAAGTATTTTACTGAAATTGTTTGTTCTAATATTAATTTTGTTGTAATTTAATTTTTTTTTTTTTGCTGAAAATATGGATTTGATAAATTGTTCCCTGCCCTGCAGTTGTATGTACATGTGGCCTAATGTGAGCGCAAGCAACTGATTGGATTAGGACTGACAATTTCCTTCTAGGTCCGGCTTCTGACCAAACCCAAGTTGATTCCTACTATACACTAGAGCAGGGGTGTCAAACTGGCGGTCCTCCAGCTGAAACTACAAGTCCCATCATGCCTCTGCCTTTGGGAGCCATGCTTGTAACTGTCAGTCTTGCAATGACTCATGGGACTTTTAGTTTGGCAATAGCTGGAGGGCTGCCCGTTTGACACCCAAGCACTAGAGGTTTGTAATAGGATGGGTTTGTCCAACATCTATGGGTGCATAACTGCATTCCCCTCCTCTTCTGCTAACACATGACATAGAATGGGCATACCATCTGGCACCCACTCTCTGCCCCATTGACCTGGCTTGCATGGAGTGTGCACTGTGCATTCATGGTCGGTTGTTTGCTTTCTAAGAGCTGGAAGGTGATTGTGCAAGTGCAGTGTGCTTTTCATGTTGGCTGTGGGTGGCTGGGGTGAGAGTTTTGGAAGGTGTGGCAGCAGAGAAGTACCATTACTGGTTATGGCCAGAGCCAAGTAGACCACTCGTAAATCCACCAGTGGGAAAGCTCCCCACAAGCAGCTGGTCAACAAAGCCACTGCAGGTGCACTCCAGCCCAGGGGCGGACTGACCATTTGGAAACTCGGGCACTGCCTGAGGGCCTGGGGTCAGTACTGGGCCCCATGAGATGCCCCTGGTACCTTTTTTCATAGGCTTTTTTGAGTTTGGGCAAGGACACAGGGGCCCCATGATCCCCTATTGCCCGGTTGCCCCATGAGTTGTCAGTCTGCCCCTGCTCCAGCCACCAGCAGAGTCAACAAGCTAGGCTCATGGTGGCTCATCAAGAGATAAGATGCTACCACTGAGCTGCTCATACAAAAGCTGGCTTTCTAGCGGCTCATCAGGGAGATCACCCAGGACTTCAAGACCCTTCCGGAGCTCCACTATCAGAGTTCTGCAGGAGGCCTCAGAGGCTTATCTGGTTGGGCTGTTTAAGGACACTAACCTCTGCACCATACATGCCAAGAAGGTCATTATGCCCAAAGGCATACAGGTTGTAAGCGGGACCAGCTGTTTGCTACCCAAAATTGAGTAAATGCACACAGAGGCCAAGGAATGTAACACAGTGTATTAGCACAAAGTTCCAACAATGTGACAACAGGGCATGAATATCACAGCCAAACCCAGTACAGCAGTACCTTAGAGAAAGGCTTGTAGAACACAGTCTCAATAGTATAGAAGACGCCTTCAAAATCTTACGATACCCAACATCATCTGGCACAAGAGGCAGCTGATAGGTGGTGTGACGGCAAGGGCATCTGATAGACAAAAGGAGCTACGAGTTGATGACACAGGTGTGAGGTCCCTACTCTGTCCCTCTTCCACTGGAAACTCTCTCGATGCTAGACACACTGTCCCTCACCAGCGGGTTCCTGTCCCTGACCTAGCCACCTCACAAATGTGCGCCAACAGTTCTATGTAGGACAGTTCTAGGTATTAGCACTGCCCCCACTAAAGATGGTTGCAGAGGTCATCCAACACAACAGCATCCAGTTGGATGGCTGCTGCCCTGAAAACACCTACAGAGGCCTCAGAGGTGCAAGAGCACCTCTTATCCTCCATCCTCTAACAGCGCCACCTGTGCAGGGAGGCTGAACTACACCTGCCTACAAGCTGGCATGTAGGATTTATGGAGAGAGGGCATAAAACATCTTCAGCTGTAAGAGCAGACATAAAGCCGCAGCCTATAACATGGCACCCTCCCTGCATGTCAGCGCTGCACATGGGGGCAGCTACCCCTCCTGCACGCCCTCCCTCCTTTTTTTCCAGCATTGGATGTGGATTTGGCTTATGGGGCATAAAGGAATGCAGAATGTTCCTCCTATTTTTGGGATAAGTGGTGGACTCAGGCAGGGGCGGACTGACAACTCATGAGGCCCCCGGGCAATAGGGGATCATGGGGCCCCTGTGTCCTCACCCACACTCAAACCACACCAAAAAAAGCCTATGAAAGGTACCAGGGACATCTCATGGGGCCCCTTACTGACCCTGGGCCCTCGGGCAGTGCCCGAGTGCTGAAATGGTCAGTCCGCCCCTGGACTCAGGCAGTACCTTCAAAGAAGGCTTTGCTGTGCTACCCTTACTGAAGTTGAAATGAAAATGTAGATGGCATGACAATACCAAGCAGAGAGAATTATCTCCGTTGCACATCACTTTCTCTGTACATAAAATATAAAATCATTTACTTGTTCAAGTGGAAACATGACTCAAACAAGGCTACATCAATGAGGCATAGAGAAAGAAGATTTTCCAAGCAAATGGAGCCAATGAAGTATAACTAGCTTTTAAAATTCTTCTTTCAAGGTGCGTGCTAAAAATACTTATCTGTTTCCTAATACAGGCCAACAATTCATTGCTACGAACATTCTCTATGGAGAGCTAAGACTTCCACAATAATATATTTTATCTATGCTCTACAAAAGTACAGCACTTTAACCACTTCCAGTCCGGACACTTTCATCCCCTTCCTGTCCAGGCCAATTTTCAGCTTTCAGTGCTATCACACCTTGAATGACAATTGCGCGGTCATGCAATACTGTACCCATATGCATTTTTTAGCATTTTTTTGAGACAGATAAAACTTTATTTTGGTGGTATTTATTCACCACTGGGATTTTTTTTTTTTTGCTATATAAATGAAAAAAGTCCAAACATTTTGGAAAAAAGGTGTTTTTTCATATAAAAATTTTGCAAATAAATAATCTTTCTTCAGAAATATTGGCCAAAATGTATTCATCTATCTTTTTAGTAAAAAAAAAAAAAACCCAAATTAGTTTATAAGCAAAAATTATAATTTTTCAAAGCTTTGTTTACAATTTTATTTTTATTATTATGTTTTTTGTTTGGTTTTTTTACATACTGTCACCCTAGCAGTACAGTGTCACCATAGTGACACTGTACTACTTGTGGGGGGTGATGAAGATTTTTTTTTTTTTTTTACACTGATTGCTTTCTCCTTCTCTCTGGCTGCATTCTTGCAGCCATTGAGAAATACTGTGAGAGCTATGATTGGTCACAGCTTATCACATGGTACACGGCTGTTGTGAATAGCCTTGTACCATGTGACCCCCCGTGATATTGGCACGATGAGGCTTATACAAGGTTGACATCTACTTCAGGGTCAGGGTGGATGGACTTTGGGCTAGTGTCAATGGCATCAGTTTGAGATGCTCCTGAGCAGGGGCGGACTGACAACTCATGGGGCCCCCGGGCAATAGGGGATCATGGGGCCCCTGTGTCCTTGCCCAAACTCAAAAAAGACTATGAAAAAGGTACCAGGGGCATCTCATGGGGCCCACTACTGACCCCCCCAGGCAATAGGGGATCATGGGGCCCCTGTGTCCTTGCCCAAACTAAAAAAAGACTATGAAAAAGGTACCAGGGGCATCTCATGGGGCCCACTACCGACCCCCCGGGCAATAGGGGATCATGGGGCCCCTGTGTCCTTGCCCAAACTCAAAAAAGACTATGAAAAAGGTACCAGGGGCATCTCATGGGGCCCACTACTGACCCCCCCAGGCAATAGGGGATCATGGGGCCCCTGTGTCCTTGCCCAAACTCAAAAAAGCCTATGAAAAAGTTACCTGGGGTATCTCATGGGGCCCCCTACTGACCCCGGGCCCTCGGGCAGTGCCCGGGTTTCCAAATGGTCAGTCCGCCCCTGCTCCTGAGACCATTCAAAATTCATTGGCAGGTGCATGTAACCAGCAGCTGAATTGTTTCTTACCTGAATTGGTCCCGCATTGCATTCCTATAGACTTGTATGAGAAGGCCCCCTCACAAACATATAGACAGGGGTCATTAACCACTTCCAGTCCGGACACTTTCACCCTCTTCCTGTCCAGGCCAATTTGCAGCTTTCAGCGCTATCACACTTTGAATGACAATTGCGCGGTCATGCAACACTGTACCCATATGAATTTTTGATCATTTTTTTGAGACAGATAAAACTTTATTTTGGTGGTATTTATTCACCACTGAAATTTTAATTTTTTTTTGCTATATAAATGAAAATGTCCAAAAATTTTGAAAAAAATAAAATTAGTTTATAACCAAAAATGATAACCAAAAATTTTTTTAACATACTGTCACCCTAGCAGAACAGTGTCACCATGGTGACACTGTACTACTTGTGGGGGGTGATAAAGATTTTTTTTTTCACATGGATTGCTTTTACACCCATAAAGGCTTTAAAAACAATAATTTCTACTTCTCTCTGGCTGCATTCTTGCAGCCATTGAGAAATGTTGTGTGAGCAGTGATTGGTCACAGTTTATCACATGGTGCAAGGCTGGTGTGAATAGCCTTGCACCATGTGACCTCTGTGATCATTCACAGATTTCACTAGTAATAAGCAATGATGTCAAAAGTGATATTTTGCTTACTACTATTCATGTGATTACTGATTGGCCAATCAGTGATCACATGATCGGGACCTCACACAGTGGGCTCCGGATTGTGGTGCCGCACACTCCCATGAAGCACACAGGCTGTGAATGTGGGCGCCGTCTATGAACAGCAACCCACTCCTGCACTGTTCCCATGCGGCCGTTTATGTACATGGGCCGGACGGGAAGAGGTTAATGTACTTATACAATGGTCACAACCTGTATACTGTAAGGTTTAGTAAAGCATGCCTTCTTGTTTTATTCTTCATGCAGCTAAGTATGTCCTTTGCCATATGTCATCAGCTTTGTTTTAGTTTTTGGATGCAGTAGGGATGGATTAGAACCTCTGTCAGGTTTTGGTTGCATGTTACTCTCATTTCTTGTCCTGGAGTTGCTGGAGCAGGAAGTAAGCTGAAACCTTCCCAATAGAGACACTAACAGCAACAGAACAGATATTCAAGGCTAAGTGGATATAGAGGCAGAAGATTTCAATCTTGGGTGTTGTGGTGGTGCAAAAATTAGCTTGGGTGGGGAGCCTCATTAAAATTTTGAAAAGAATAGTATAGAATAGAATAAAACAGAATAGAATTAAAAAAAAATGAAAGATTAGAATAGAAAATAAAGGAATAGAAAAGTATAGAATAGAAAATAATAGTAAAAAATAGAATAGAATAGAATAGAATAGAATGGCTAAAGCCAACTTCTGAATTTTGAATAGAATGGAATAAAGTAGAAATAATATAGCCATCTTCTGAAATTCGAGTTTAAAAAAGAATAGAAAAGAATATAATAGAAAATAAAAGAATAGAGTCGAAATATCACCATCTTCCAAAATTTAGAATTTTGAAAAGAATAGACTAAAATAAAATAGAATAGAGTAGAAATATTGCCGTCTTACAAAAGGTTGAATTTTTGAAAATAATAGGCTAGAATAAAATAAAATAGAGTAGAAATATTGCTGTCTTACAAATTTTTTAAAAGAATAGACTAGAATAAAATAGAATAGAGTAGAAATATTTCTGTCTTACAAAATTTTGAATTTTGAAAAGAATAGATTAGAATAAAACAGAATAGAAATAAATAAAAATGGAACAATAAAACAGAATAGAATAAGATTGAATAGAATAAAACTAACTAGATTAGAAAAAATAGAATAGAAAATAATATTGTAGAATAAAACAGAGCAGAATAGAAAAGAATATAATAGAATAAGATAAAAAATAATAGAATAGAAAAAAATAGAATAGATCACAAAATAATAGAAAGAATATATCTGTCTTCCGAAATTCAAATTTCAAATAGAAGAGAACCACGTATTCCTCGGATCAATTCATCATTCTCTAATCAAATTCGATTTGAATCCAAAAAAAAATTGAATCCGGTTGAAAAATGCAATTAAACAAAATGAGTAACTTAACAAATCGATGCAAAACAAAATGAATTTTCTTCGTTCTGCACATGTCTATCTGTGGATCTAGTCTGTTATCACAGGAAGAAAGTGTCCGGAAGGCATTGGAAGGAGGCAGTCAATTGTCTGAAGACATTTGTGATCACATACAGTGTGAGAGATCCTAGAGACTGTGTGCTGTTACCACCCCCCACCCTGGTGCTAGAGAGTCAGCAGTGTGTTCAAAGGGAACAAAGTGTT